CACGTCGGTGAGGGTGCCGCTCCGCCGGTACGCGTTGAGCGTCTGCAGGATGCGCTGCGCGTGGCAGGACGCTGCGCACGGACCCTCCACGCCTGGCTCTGACTCCTCGCGTCCCGGGGTCTCCCGCATCCTGCGAGGAGAGAACACAGGCCGAACTAGGGTTGGGCCTGCTGGGGGACATCCCCTGCACATCTAGGCCTTCTTTCACTAGTTCACTCACGGAGCACTTCCAGCCATGCACCTACTGTCCCCACCACGGCCCATCTAGACTTCTGATGACCTTGAGCCAGTCCCTTCCTTCTGTGTCTAGTCTTCCCCTCCAGTACCTACTTCAGCCATATTGCCCGTTTCTGTTCATACTTGGCTAAGGTTTTTCCTGTCAGGCTCTGCAGGAAACAGATGGCAGACTCGAACAGGAGAGTCAAAAAAGGGAGGGGGGATGGGATGGAACGATTTATACAAGTCTAGACTATGTAGTGTTTAGGGATTCCAAGTGGATTGAGTACTGTCATCTGGCTACCAACAACAGGAGGACTATTCTCAACTTCTGAGGGGGGACCTCAGGGAGGTTGCTGGAACCTGGAAATAAATGTTTATAGGAAGGGTCCTGTTGCGCTACCTGTAGTCTCTGGTAAAGAGATTCAGGCTCCACTAGACACCAGTGTGTTTGCCTGTCCCTCTCTCACTTCATCATGCCTCCTTCAGATCTGGGTTTTTTGGTTTTGGTTTTTTGAGACAGGGTTTCTCTATGTAGTTTTGTAGACCAGGCTGGCCTCCAACTCAAAGGGATCCGGTGCCTCTGCTTCCCAAGTGCTGGGATTACAGATGTGTGCCACCACTGCCCCACCCTTCAGATCTGTAGGTACCTCCCTTTGACCAGACTCTGTTCCACTTAGTATCTACCCCACGCTCCACAGGCACAGCTGCACCTGGGATTATCTATGTGAGCACCTAGGATTATCATACTTGTGCATGTATTAAACTATTGTTTATTATCCAGTATCTTTTTGTGCCAACAGTCATGATCCCTATCTTTCTGTAGCTCAGAGCTTGGGCAGGGGTCCTTGGAGAGAACTTTGGGGACTTGGGGGGAGCTCAGAAAGCATAATTGGAGGAAATTTAAGAAAGGGATTCTTGAGATGAGTAGAATTAGCTGAGCCAAAGCTGGGGAGTGAGAGATGTTTGTAGTTTCCAGTGGAAAGATCCAGACTCTAGGCACATGGGATTATAATCCTCCTTTTGTCTGGAGTTATCTGACCTGGGCAAGCCACCAGCCCCATCTTCTCTGAAACAGGATCATAACGCTTAGCCACAGAACAGTAACTATTGGACGGGATGTATGAATGTTCTGGGATTGTAGAGTACCTCGATCCTCAATCCATGCTTACCCTTTTACCCACACAAAGGGGGAGACCCTTACAGCTCTGAGAAAAGCCTTGTGTCACTCAAACTTTCAAGAGTTTGTTGTGAGGAAACAGTCACACAGAGGGAGCCTGCCCTTCAGAGGTTTGCTGTGGGGATCGGAGAAGGGGTGCTTAGGAAATGTTGACACAGATTGCACTATTCACCCTGGTTAGGATTTGGTCCTTAAGAACGTGCAGCCAACACTTGGCATGGCCTGAAGCTAGGCAGTATTCTCCTTCCTGTGGGAACTTACTCCGAGGCTCAGCTCTGCCTCTGCCCATGCCTCTCCCTCCATTCTCCCATCTGCTGCTGCAGAGCAGCTAGGCGAGGCTTTCACAGCATAAGCAGGATCATGCTGAGTAGTGGATTCCCTGCCTCAGCGGCACACGAAATAAGCTCCTAATGGACAAGGACTGTTGCCCAGGTAGAGGCGACCAACCCAAGCCCACCATGCACTGGGCTGTTGAGTCCAGCCCCTCCACAGGACTTGCCAGGGTGGGGGTGTGTCCTCAAGGAACAACCAGGAATCCAGTGAGACAGGTCCTTGGAGTGCAGCAGGGCTGCCCTTAGCTAGCCTAGGACACAGCTACCCTCTAGGCTGAGACTTAAGAAGGCAGGTCTCAGGAGGACAATCCCTCTGTTGTTGTGATGGTCTTTAAGTTCACCTCCTAGGAACTTTGCTAATACTTACTCTACTGCCACCTACTGCCCTAGGATCAGAGAAATATGGACACATGGTGATGGGAGACTCAGTTTCTATCGTGCAGTCCCACCATGGAGGGGCGGCAGGACACATGGGAAGGTGGGGATTCCCACCTGGGACTCTGTGTGCTTTCTCCCTCTCACAGAGTCTAAGCAGGCTCATGGGCTGACAGACTTGACCAGTGGAAAGTGGCTCAGCACTCCCACTTCCCACCCGCCCCCACTTCCACTCCATACACACACACACACACACACACACACACACACACATACACACACACACACTTACACTTTGGATGGACGCTTTCCATAACAAGACAGTCATCTGGCCAGGCTACCCAAACCCTGCACCCAGGTACTTGGTGCCTACCTGGACACACCCTCTTCCAGGGACTCCGAAGTTGCTGCTCTGGCAGAGATGGCTCCAGCCTGTGCCTGCTGCTTGCTGGCTTGCCCGTTTGCCTAGCAGCCCGAGCTCCTGATTTTACTCTCGCTTTCCCTAGACTCCCACTTGGGCTCAGCTGCGGGAGGACAAAGGGACTGGACGCCAGGGGGGAGGGGAGGAGAGGGAGCCGGTAGGAATGGGCACTGGGCTTTTGTTCCACCCTTGGACCAGTCTTGGAAGGGAGGGGTGTGGATAAGCATGGAATTCATTGTGTGTGTAATGCTGGGCTGTGGTGTTTTGAGGACTGGGGGTGACGTTGGGTTTGTGTGGTATGTGTATCGGGTGTCTGCTTCAGGTAGATGGGGTGGTTGTCAGCATGCAGGTGTCCTAGAACCTATATGTGTGTGAGTGCCTGGAACACAGTGACTGTGTAGTACTGGGGTGCTTGGGCTATGTGGACATGTGACTACATGACTTTAGATGTAACCTAGAATGTGGCTGCCATGGCTATGGATCCAGGTTTCCCTCCTGCCTCTTTTTGACTACCAAGCCTTTGTTCCTTTCTCACAGCACACCTGTCATTGTAGGTTTTTGCATAACCCATTGTATCTATGAGTGTTCATTTGCATGTCAGAGGTTTGAGTGTAGGAGAGATTAGTATCACACATGTCTGTGTGGACGTATGTTCATGCCTATGTGACAAGGCTCACTCTGCTCTGGGTGTTACCTGTATGTGGCCCTGTGACTGGAGGAGTGTGGGCCTCTTGGAGAGGGCACAGTGGGAAGGACATGTTGGCACTGAGCAGATAAAATTGGATGGAGAAGAGAATGGGACAGCCTGGGTCTACCTGGCCTCCTGAAGCCAGAGGAAAGGGATTTGGAGATTGGCACATGACCATTTGCTGCCTCTGTGACAGGCTGTAGGGCCTGGAATCCGTGGAGCAGAGCTTGCTGTCACAGAAGAGCACAGCGGTCTGGGGAGGAAGTGGCCTTGCCAAGAGCCTGTCCTGTTCTGCCTGGGCACCACCATAGGCACTGGACAACTCTGACCAAATCGGTGCCTGCCACCCGGCCTGATTCTTCTCACCAGCCGTAGGGGAAGCATGACTCCTGTTGCTCTGCCCTTTGTGTGTGTGGTGGCCTCTGTGTGTGTCAGAGTCAGATCCTGACAGGCTCAGGTAGGCTTAGAGATTGTGGAAGATGGGAGGTGTCGTGGTTTGGTAGGAGTATAACATGCCCTCTAAAAGGGATCCAGTGAGATGGCTCAGCAGGTAACGGCACCTGCTTCTATGCCTGAGGATCTCTGAGATACACATGGTAGAAGGAGAGAACCTACTCACACACATGTTATAGCACACAGGTGCTCACGCACATACTCCCATTCACACATAATATTAAATAAAATATAATTTAAAAACATTTATGCCAGTTGTAGTGGCACATGTCTTTAATCCCAATACTCAGGAGGCAGATTTCTGTGAGTTCTGGGACAGCCTGGTCTACAGAGTGAATTCTGGGATAGGCAGGGGTTCTTAGTGAGACTGTGTCTTCAAACAATTTTTTTTGCCAGGTGGTGCCGGCACACACCTTTAATCTTAGCACTTGGGAGGCAGAGGCAGGCAGATCTCTGTGAGTTCGAGGCCAGCCTGTTCTACAGAACTACAGCCAGAGCTGTTACACAAAGAAACCCTGTCTCGAAACACACACACGCACACACACATGCTCCACATGTTGGGAGCTTGGTCCCTAGGCTGGTGGTGCTATGGAGAAGTCATTGAGGCCTTCCTATTGTATTCATCCATCAATGGGTTAATAATTTCATGTTATTATTGTGATGTGGAGGAGAGTGGGAGTTGGGGTCTAGTTAGGAGGTCCTGCATTTCCTTGCTCTTTGCCTCCTGTCCCCCATTTGTTCTGTCACATGCTCCCTGCCACCATGAAGTTCTGCTTCTCCATGCATAGATAGGCCTAGAAGCACAGTTAAGTGAACAAGCATTGGAATCCCTGAAATCATGAGCCAAGTAAACATTTCTTCCTAGTAAGTTGTTTTCCTCTTGTATTTTGTTCCAGTGATAAAAATCTAATGCAAGAGGGCTTGGCAAAGCATGTGTTCTGAAGCCTGGGGGAGGTTGTCTATCGACCCTGCCTGTTCTGACTAGGTTCCTTTTTAAATTTAATTAATTTATTTTTTGTGTATTTAATTTTGGTATTTTGCTTGCATGTATGTCTGTTCGAGGGTGTCAGATCCCCTAGAATTGGAGTTACAGACAGCTGTGAGCTGCATGCTGAAAATTGAACCTGGGTCCTTTGGAAGAGCAGCCAATGCTCTTAACCACTGAGCCATCTCCCCAGCCTGTGCTAGTTTTGTGTCAATTTGACACAAGCTAGAGTCATTTGGGAAGAGGGACACTCAATTGAGAAAATGTTCCGACCCAACTGGCCTATTGCCATATGACACCTATGTCAACAGCACAACTACCCCTATGGGTCCTCCAGGTGGTGACAGCCATGCATTTTCTTGACTGGTGATTGATGTAGGAGGCCCATCTCACAGGGAGCAGGTGGTCTTAAGTTGTATAAGAAATCAAGCTGAGTTGGGCGGTGGTGGCGCACACCTTTAATCCCAGCATTTGGGAGGCAGAAGCAGTCAGATCTCTGTGAGGCTAGCCTGGTCTACAGAGCAAGTTCCAGGACAGGCTCCAAAGCTACACAGAGAAACCCTGTCTCAAAAAACAACAACCAAAACAAAACAAAAGAGTCAACCTGAGCAAACCCTGAGGAGCAAGCCTGTAAGCATTGTTCCTCCATGGTCCCTGCTTCAATTCCTGCCTCCTGGTTCCCGTTCTGAATTGCTGCTCTGACTTACATGAGTGACCTGACAGCTGTAAGATGGGATAAAGCCTTTCCTCTCCAAGTTGCTTTTTGGTCATGGTGTTTTATTACAGGAATAGAAAAATAACTAAGGGGCTGGAGAGATGGCTCAGATGTCAAGAGCACTGGCTGCTCTTCCAGAGGCCCCAAGTTCAATTCCCATCAAGCACATGGTGGCTCACAACCATCTATAATGAGATCTGATGCCCTCTTCTGGCACACAGGCATACATGTAGGCAGAACACTGCATGGTGGCTCACAACTATCTATAATGAGATCTGGTGCCCTCTTCTGGCACACAGGCATACATGTAGGCAGAACACTATATAATAAAAAACAAACCAGGAAATGGTTAACTGCCCTTATACTATGTGTTGGGTGAGGGGGAGCTTTTCTATGTAGCCATGGAAGGGTGTTAATGGGGCCAGGGAGATGGTTGAGCAGATAAAGGCACTTGCTGCCATACCTGACAGCCTAAGATCAATCTCTGGGACACTGTTGTAGGTAGTTTCAGTTGTCAACCTGGCACAAACCCAGAGTCACTTGGGAAGATGGAACCCCAACTGAAAAATTGCCTTGTGACACTGGTCTGTGGCCGTGTCTTCGAAGTCTTCTCTTAATTGCTAATTGATGTATGGCAGTGCCATACTAGACAGGTAGATGTGGGCTTCAGAAGAAAGGTTATCTGAGCAAGCCAGAGGGAAGCAAGCCAGTAAGCAGTGTTTGTTCCTCCATGCTCTCGGCTTCAGTTCCTGCCTTATACTCTTGTCCTGGCTTCCCTTGATGACGGATTGTAACATGTAAGCTAAAACAAACCCTTTTTTCATGTTGCTTTCAGTCATAGTGTTTATCAGAGCAACACAAAACACACTGGGAGTGAACTACATGGTGGAAGGAAGAACTGACCCCCACAAGTTGCCCTCTGACCGCCATATCTGTACTGTGACATTCACACACACACACACAAATTTAAAAGGTTGTAAGTGGCTTGGGGGCCTTTATACTTGGGGAGGGGCTGAGGGTTCACAGAGGGCTTGCAGGAGATAGACCGTTATCTGAGCAGGAAGACACTAGAGGAACAGAAGCAGAGGTGCACACGAGTGGCCAGATGCGAAAAGGCCCCTCTGTTGTCCTGTAAAGTGGGCAGTGAGGTGTCCTCTGTAGCCAAAGGGAGATACTGGAGACTTTCAGCAAGGTGGGGTTTTCAGTGACCCTAAGTTAGGCAAGAGAAGCCAGGGTGCAGCAGGAGCTGAAAGATCTTGCTAGATGTTCCGTAGTGAGGGAAATAGTGGGTAAATCCTCCCGGATCCCACGGAAGGGGCTGTGTAGAGAGGCTAATGAGAGCCTCCTGAAAGGTCCGAATGTGGAAGGGGCTCATTTCCTTTCTCCCTAGATGGTGACAGAAACTTCTTATAGCAAGAATTCTATCCAGAACACCCACATTTGGAGATGAGACAGTACCTGGTGTTCTAAGTGGCATGGCATTTATGTAATACAGTGGTTGTCAACCTTCCTGATGCTGTGACCGTTTAATACAGTTCCTCATGTTGTGGTGACCCCCAACCATAAAATTACTTTTGTTGCTACTTTGTAATTGTAATTTTGCTACTGTTATGAATCCCAATGTAAATACCTGTGTTTTCCGATGGTCTTAGGTGAGCCCTGTGAAAGGATCATTTGACCCTCAAAGGGGTTGGGGTTGGGACCCACAGGTTGAGAACCACTGACCTAGTACAAGATGTAGCAGGGGTTCAGCCTTCTTCCTTCTCTTCAGAATGCACTCAAGACCATGAATATTCAGTGGGAGCCTCAAAAACTAAAGACCTTCCCTGTTTCTACTGCTGACCTTTCCCACAGAGGGCAGAAGGCAGAGCCCTTGTGAGGTGCGAGGGGACACAGACACCTGTGTTCCTGGTGCTGTGTTGATTTCCAGCCCAGGTACCCTTTCTCATGCTAAGCAGAGGATGTGAGCCTGCCTCAGCCACACCTCACCAAGGCAAGAGGCATCTGCACTTGGCTTGTTCTCCAGGAGCTCAGAATTCCTGGACAGCCAGGGCTACATAGAGAGACCCTGCCTCAAAAAATAAATTATTTTATGTATATGGATATTTCACCTGTATGTATGCCTGTACCGTGTGTGTGTGTGTGTGTGTGTGTGTGTGTGTGTGTGTGTGTGTGTGTGTGCGCAGTGGAGGCCAGAAACAGACAGCCATGAGCCACCATGTGGGAGCTACCATGTGGGAGCTACCATGTGGGTGCTAGGTATTGAAACTTGTTCCTCTGGAGGAATAGCCAGTACTCTTAACCACTGAGCCATCTCTCCAGCCCACTGGAGTTGATTTTTCAGAAAGACATTTTGGGGGCTGGAAAGTTGGCTCAGTGGTTAAGAGTACTGGCTGTTTTTCCAGAGGACCCAAGTTCGGTTCCCAGCACTTATATCAAGTGGCTCACAACTGCTTAAAATTCCAGATCCAGGAGCTCTAACACACTCTTCTGGACTCTGAGGGTACCCCCACACAAGCGACATGTATTCATACACACAGATATTTTTTTAAATTGAAAAAGATATTTTTTAAAGGCATGCACCACCACACCCTGGCAAGACATTTTTAAACATGAGAGTTAAGGGTGTGGATATGGACTTCTCCAAGGGTAGTAGCCCTGGCTTCGCTTGTTCACAGCTATGTGACCTTGGATGGTCACTTTGCCCCCCTGACCCTTGTGTGGATATGGACTTCTCCAAGGGTAGTAGCCCTGGCTTCGCTTGTTCAAAGCTATGTGACCTTGGATGGTCACTTTGCCCCCCTGAACCCCCCCCATAACGAAAGGGTGTTCATTGGTTTTTCAATCCAGGGCTGCTGAAGCCCAGGCATCATGGCTGACCAATGGAAGAGTTCAGATATATGTCATTTTCACTTTCATCTGTAAAATGGCTCTTCCTCAAACCCAGGGGCCAGCACCCAACCCCAAATCCACATGATGTGTTCCCAAATTGCCACTGACAATTCAGAGACAACACACATTAAGATGGCAGCTTTAATTGCCTTGGCCCTTAGGTTCCTTCTACTGTAGGTATCTTTGGCCAGACGCCATGCTTGACTGAGCCCAGAGCACTTTGCCCAGGTGGCCCATTGCCCTGTGGCCACTGCTGTGGGAACCTGAGGTCATGTCAGTCTGTTGATTATCTGATCTTCAAGGCTTCTTCTGCCCCAGAGGCCTGTTGGACAATTGGGTGTGAGGCAGAACAGCCCCAAACCTGTGATTCTGGCCATCTCTAGCTGCTTCTCGGGGACTCAGAGGCCACTGGTGGAGGGAAGCTGGTTGGGAGAACATGTCTCCACCATAGCCCCTGATTTTCCTCCTGAGATGTCCTTGTGCTTTGAGATGGGTGAAGAGAGTAGAGCTGCCAGGCAGAGGTGAGGCCCAGTCATCGTCCTCAAGGCAGGACGAGACCAGAGTCAGTAATCTCACAGCACAGACAGATAAATAGACAGGAGTGGGCACAGGGGAGCATCCACACCCTCCACTTCCATGGGGCACATGGCCCAGTGACCCAGCAAAACTTCCAGGCTGGGAGGTGGACAGTGGTTGTGAGAGTAGACAAGGAGACCAGGCCCTCACTTCCAGGAAGAAAAGCCCCAGACCTGCAGGGGCATCTGAGAGGCTGGAGTTCTGGTGCAGCTGAGCCTCAGTGGGGAGAGCCCCCCAGGAGAGGCTGGAACTGACAAAGGAACTTGGAGCACACAAGCAGGCTGCGGAGCCAGCTCCCAGGGCACTGCACGTGCAGTTTCTGTCAGCTCTTCTCATTTAGGTTCTACCTCAGGTACAAGTTGGGCAGACGGATCTTCAGCTAATGCCCACTGCGGTCTGTGAGGGTCTTGGCACGGCTGCCACCACCTCGAGGGCCCATAGGGGTGGCTGTGCTGTTGGCATAGGTGTCATAGCTGCTGTCTGAACATACGGAGAGCTCATCAGAGACCTCCACACCATCACTGATCTCTGTTGGACCAGAGGAGACAGAGTGTGAGTGGGGAAGATGGACTCTGAGGGCAGGGAGATGGAGGGCATTTAGAGGCAGCTGTAACCACTGGATCCAGCTAGCACTGAACCTGTGGGCACTACGTTCAGGGACCCCTTTGGTCCCTTCTGGGCCCTTAGTCCTCTGTTCCTGGAGCTCCTGCTGTAGAAAACCACAGCACCTTAGGTGCTCTGTTATCCAGTGTTATCCTCCAGGCATTCACACACACAGGCTTCTCTTCTTTTGAGTGACTTCCATCCCCAGTAATCCCTTTTTCCTAAAATCTGGCTCAGGTCTCCCCATCTCCGGTATGTCAGCCTAATAGACAGCTCCTTGATTCCCAGGCTGTGCTGGGGCCTCCTATTCAAGCCAGCCTGGTTCCTCCAGCCCCTATCACAGTCAGCAAGGGTGGGGGCCTGAGCAGAGCCCCTAAGGACACCTGCATCCTAGTGTTAACAGCCTGCGGGGCAGAGCTGATGTTCTGGAAGGTGCTCTGTGGAATGCTGCTTGGCTCTTTGTGCCTGGACAAGCAGCGCAGCCTTGGGGGCATACCTGTTCCCACAGGAGCACCCTTCCCTGTGTCTGCTCATCTCATTACACAGGCACCTCCGGCCATCCTTCACAACCCAGCTACGTCACCCCAAACCCCCCTTGCTGTCCCAGGGAGCTCTGAGCACACTTTCTGCCTTGGCTCTTCTTATAGGAGCTACAGTGACCCCAGTTTTGCATGCCTTTATAGCTGCCTTCACCAGACCAGAAGAACGCCATGTGTGAACCAAAGAAAGGCATAGAACCTTCAAACAGACACCTCACCCCATACCCCAGCTTGTTTACCAACCAAGGACTGACACTAACCCCTTGGATCTGGGGTTGTCTGTCATGGAAATACATGTGTTTCTATCCCTCAGTATGTGCAAGGGTGTGAGCCTGAAAAGAGGTTATGTCCGCCTCTCCTGCTGTGTAACATGTGCACCACCTAATCCAGGGCCCATGCAGGCTGTCACCTGAGAAGATGAGCTTCTCCTTCATGATGCTGACGTCCCGGCTGGTCCGGCGTACTGCGGCACTCAGCATGATCTGCTCTGGGTTGTAACTCCGTATGCCACCCAGGCGCCACCTGCAGAGACCGCCCCGTGGGCATCAGGTCTTTCCCCAGCCTCCCTGGAGCAGACACCCTGCCCATTTCCAGAGCCTCTCCTGATGTAGCCTGAGAGACCCACAGCACAAATGGGGAAACTGAGGCCCAGAGAGGGGCAGTCAACTGATTCCCAGCCAGGGATCTCCTGCCTCTCTTTCTCCCCTCATTTATCAGCAGCCCTGGTCCAGGCAGGCAGTGTCATTAGTTATATCCTGGCTCTTTGGGTGGGACAGTTGGGGGAAGGGGAGCTCAGCAGATGTGACTGAAGACCTGCTTTTATGGACACATGAGCCCCAGGAAGCCCCAGCAGAGGCTTCCTGTAAACCCACCAATGCAACCGGCTGAGGAAAGCCAGAAGGGGCTAAAGAGGACAGTGAGGTTTTATTTAGGACTGGTCCTCACAGGTTCCCCGGATGTTGGAGGAACTTGGTATAGAGTTATCTGGTTAGAAATGAGGACCCCAACTCCCCAGAAGATGCAACCCTCATGGGTGGCCGGAGGCAGTGAGGAATCCATATGAAACTCACTGTGGATTTCTAGATGGAGCTAGCACAGCAGAAATGGACAGACAGGGTGGCAGGATGGGACAGACAGGGGGAAGCAGGAGGCAGGAGGGGAAGGCATTGTGCCTTGGCTGGGCCGGCTGCCTTGCCAATCCTTGGGGGCAGTGCTTGTTCCTCTGGCTCCTTGCCAGGACCCCCGTACCAGCCTCAATGCCTGGCAAGTTGTGGTGTTGGGCAAGTGTTTGATGAATCAATGAATGAAGGAATGAGGTCCACAGAGA